ACAATTCCAACCATCATCAGGAAGGGATCGAAGAAGCTTTTTCCATGTCGCCGGATCGAAAATCGTCGGTCCTTCGCGCGCTTCGTCGAATCCACGCCGCCACGGGTCATTGCAGTAGGGATTACTTGGTGAAGGCCCTCAAAAGGAGAAACGCGGACCATGAGACCATTGAACTTGCGAAAAACTTCCGCTGTTCGACCTGCGAAGAACATGTCGTTTCGAAACCAAGAGTTCAGGGTTCCCTGGAAGACATCCCACCTAAATGGGCCCGCGTTCAGGTGGATGGAGGGTCATGGAGCCATCCTGAGACCAAAGAGAACTTCCACTTCCTTTTGGGGATTGATGAGGGAAGCCGATTCCGACGGGGGATGATCCTGAAACCCGGTAAGAAGATCAGCATGTCAGGTGAAGACTTGGTTACCTTTTTGGAGGAGTATTGGAAGCCGGTTTTCGGAAACCTTGCTTGCATTAGGATGGACCCCGCTGGACCTTTCAGAAGTGAACGCCTGGACGAGTACTTGTTGAATCAAAAGATTGTCAATGAACAGATTCCTGCCGAAGCCCATTGGAAGATACCTCATGTTGAACGAGCGATCCAAACCACCAAAAACATGATGTCGAAACTCGCTTCGGAGTGCCCGGAGATGTCGTGTCGTGAAGTGTTTTGTCGGTCGCTCTGGGCGCAGAACTCTCGGGATCAATACCTTGGATTCTCCCCCCTTCAACATGTTCTTGGTAGGAACCCATGTGAAGATGGATGTATTCACGATAGGGGATGTGACGAGGTTCCGCTGATCACCGAAAGAGGTGTGACCGCCGAGTTTGGAGAAGATAACAAAGCCATGAAGATTGCTGAGGAATCCTTCATTGAAGAACAATATAAACATAGGCTTTCCAGGGCACAGGCCTCCGGAAGTAGGGTTCAGAACACCTTCAAACCAGGTGACCTGGTGTTTTATTGGAGAAAACAACTCGCTGGTCATGGTCATGAGGTGAAAGGTCAAGGGTTCAAGAAAGGTGGATTCATAAGTCCCGCTCAGGTGTTGGCCACTGAGACCAAACTGTCGGAAACCGGAGAACGATCACCAGGTCAAAATATTTGGATTTTCCGTGGAACCAAGTTGCTCAAGGCCACCCCCCAGCTCTTAAGGCATGCAAGCGAACGTGAAGAAGCATGGGCTGAGTTGAAAGAGGACCAACCTCTTCCATGGACGGTGACCAGCATCCTGGAACAGAGTAAAAACAAGACCTTTGAGGACCTGACCAAGATTGAACCACCACTGGACTGGGAGGAAAATGACGATCCAGAGATCATCCCTGACCAACCAGGAGCACCACCACCTCCTCGCTTTAGACATCGTCGGAAAGGACCAGAACCGGAACAACCACCAGCAAAACACCATCGACGTGAAGCTCTCGATCAGCAGATGACAGAAGGTGATGAAAGCTTGATCGCACTAACGTCAGAGACACCAGCAACATTCCTGGAAGATGAACATGGTAGCATTCAAATTGCTATCGACATGCCAGACAAGGCAAACAGGAAACAAAAACATTGGCTTCGCGACCTGGCAGCGTTTGTGATCAGTCAAAGCCGCAAGAACCATGTGGAGGTATCCGAACGAAGACGGTCACCAACAGAACTAGAACAGTTCAGACAGGCAAAACAAAAAGAAGTGAAAAACTACATCCTTGCGGAGGTCTTCAAGAAGATCCCTGACCACATGAAGCCAGATGCCAGCCAGGTGTTGAAAATGCGCTGGATACTGACATGGAAATGCGACAAGGAGAATCCCGACCAGAAGAAAGCAAAGGCACGTGCAGTCATACTGGGTTATCAAGACCCGCTGTATGAGACTCGCCCCACGGCGAGCCCAACGATGAACAAAAGTACAAGGCAGTTGTTTTTGACACTCTGCGCGGCTCACCACTTCCGAGTGGAAAAGGGAGATATCTCCGGCGCCTTCCTTCAGGGTCGTGAATTTCAAGACCAACTCTTCATTGAACCACTCAAGGAAATTGCTGAAGCTATGAACCTACCTGAAGGTTCGATCACAAGACTTGCCAAAGCAGCATACGGCCTGGTTCAAGCCCCACTGGAATTCTACTTGTCAGTGGATGAATTTCTGGAACAACAAGGATTCATTCGACAAAAAGCCGACCCCTGCTGCTGGGGACTCTTTGATCAAAGTCAGAGCCCTATAGCATGGATCTGCTCGCACGTCGACGACTTCTTGTTTGGAGGTGACGAGACCGACTTGCGCTGGCAACATGTGAAATCAGCAATCACTACTCGGTTCAAATTTGGAGAGTGGGAGAAGGGGAAGTTTGTACAGTGTGGTGTGAACATTGAACAACGAGGAGACTTCTCCTTCAAGATCTCACAACCAGAATTCCTGGAGCAAGTGTCAGAGATCTACATACCAAAACAGAGAAGCAAAGACCTTGAAGCTTCCGCCTCTCCCGAAGAACAAAAACAGATGAGAAGTGTTCTTGGATGTTTAGCATGGCATGCAGGGCAACTAGCAATGGAACTTAGTGCCCCTACAGGCCTTCTCCTTTCGAAAGTGCCCAAGGCCCAGGTGACCGACCTTCTCGAAGCAAACAAGCTTCTTAAAAAGGCCAAGGCCAGGCAAGGGCAATGCATGATCATACATACCTTGAATAAAGATGATCTTATGTTGACAACTTGGGTTGACGCTGCCTATGGCAACAGGCCTGATTTAAGCAGCACCAAGGGAGTGTTGATTGGATGTACAGATTCCAGGATCCTTCAAGGAGAACTCTCACAAGTCAACCCCATCTTTTGGTGTTCCTCGAAAATTTCGAGGGTCTGTCGTTCGAGCGCATCAGCAGAAACACGAGCTGCTGTGGATGGGGAAGACCAGATGTATGCACTTCGATTCCAGCTGGCGGAATTCCTTGGCCACCATGGAAATGAATGGTCCCCTGACGAAACGGTCAATAAGGTCCCAGGTGCCCTCGTGAGTGACAGTCGTAACCTGTACGATCGGCTTTCTTCCACCATCTTGACCTTGGGAGGTGCGGAAAAGCGAAGTGACATTGAAACCCTGTGCTTGAAAGAGGCCCTGAACGCTAACCAGGTTCACCTGCGGTGGGTGAACGGAGAAAGCCAGTTGTCGAATAGCCTCACCAAAGACAATGAACCTCATCAGATTCACATGTTCAATGAACGAAGTGGTAGGTGGCGGATCGTTTACGATGAGTCCCTGGTTTCTGGTCGAAAGAGAAAACAAGATGGAAAGGGACCTCTTGATTGAAAGTGGCACTAGAATTTTTTTAATAGTATGGACCCGTGCAGAATTTGCATTCCAGGGTCACGAACTCACTCGTTCCCGGTGATCTCGTCTCGACTCAAGCGCCCCACTTAGCAAGGACAGAAACAGTTCCTTCCGAGGGGTACTTGCGCCCGTGTGCTTCGCATATATATATATATATCTGTCACCTTGGCCTGGCTGCTTAACTTGAGATATCTTGAAATCTTGAAATGTGAAAAAGTGGAAAAAGTGAACTGTATTGAAATGCAGTGTGTGTCTTGTTTCATGCGTCGAACGATGGCGGCCTCGATGTGCGAAGTGCCCAAGTTGTTCCACGTGACATCGTGGCACGTTGCTCCAGGAGTCGCTTCCAAGGACTCGCAGGTTTCTGGATGATTGCGGAATTGGAAGGCCCTTGCTACTAGTAGATCTAGTAGCAATAGGTTGGAGGCCATCGCCAGCAGGTTGGAGGCCATTGAGGAAGGTGTCTGTGCTTGACGTCTGCACACTGTTTCAGTGGCGAAAGCTCTGGTTCCAATCAGGCTGCAACTGCGGCTTTGAAGTTATTTTGAACTGACAACTGCCAGCATTTCAGGCTGACCGATTGCAGTTAAATGGCTGTGAGACTGAGCTCAGCATCCAGCAGCAATAGCAGCGCAGCCGCTGGGGCACAAAAAACACGCAGGTGGTTCCGTTGCTGAATCAATTCCTGCCAATGACGCAGGGGCATCTGGCGGGATCGGCTTAGTTAGCTACCACTAGCCTTGGGTTCAGGATCTTGTGCGGTTGCCGGTCCTGCAGGAAGTCAGCCCATCCTCAGATGTGGGATGGGCTAAACATGATGAAGTCCCAGGACCGAAACCCAGATGTGAAATTCCCTAAGAACGCAGGGAATTGAGTCAGCTTGGTTAGTGCCTGATCAGGCTTCTTTCTTTCGTTCTTTCTTTATTTATTGAGTTCCTTCTTTCTTTCTTTCTTTCTTCCTTTCTTTCTTTCTTTCTTTCTTTCTGTCTCTCTCTCTCTCTCTGCATCTTGACAGGGCACAGCTTAGGACTATCTGACTATCTATCACTCAGTAACTTGCAAAATCTGAAGAAGACCTGCCGAGTGTGCCACGAGACTTCGCATCTGTCGCACACTGGGTTAGCTAATGCTGGTCGAAAAGAGCCCTCAAGACTAGGAACTAACTTCATGTAGAAGCTGTTTGTGATGTGGAGCGGTGGTGCGGCCCGCTCCCGTGCGGTGGCAACCAAGCCACGTGCGGTGGCGATTGGAATGGATCCGCGCCCGACATAGCCTAACAAACGAACCTGGACAAAGCGGGAGATGTCACAGGATTGGGAACTGTTGAACAATTGGGAACAGTTGAACATCTTCCAGTTTCACTCGCGTGCTCTTTCGGAAAGGGCCGACGATTTTGTCTATTTGAGAGGTCTCATATACAAACCACTCTCGCTGTTGCGAAATCAGAAGGCATCGTCCCGATGTTGTTGGTGGGGTGCCCAATTCCTGGGTTGCTCGTAGAAAGCGCCTGAGAAAGCCGAAGGAGTTGCTCGTAGATGTTGTCGCCCAGCCCGCCACTCCTGGGACGGCGCGGGACACTAAATGCACACGGAAAAGCCAGAACGCGAGCGGCACGCACGTGTGCCGACGTCGCAGCACTCCTGACGTTCAAGGACTTGAGAAACAAAATGAAACAAGTGTTCAAGAACTAAACACGGTGAAGAGTGACACCTTTCATGGCACGATGCTCATTGCTCACTTGGTGCGCTTTGCGCACAGCAACGAAGGATGTGCCTGCGACTTGAGGCCATCACTGTGCAGAAATGACATCGCCCTTGAGGCGGCTCGCTCTGCGAAAGTGTGAGACGCTCCGTTCGCATGCGGTCCTAGCCGCCAATGTAGCCAGGTTGTACTGTGGGCCCTCGACCACTACAACCATAGAGAAAACGGTCTCGCATCGTTCGAATCTCACCGGGAAGTCGATCACACAGAAATGCATGGATCTTCTCATGTGGCTCGGGGTACTCGTCGCAGTAGGGGGCATCCGAATAGGCTTCGATGCCAATCCGGCCAATGCAATCAACGAAGGCCTCTTGCGTGAGGTATCCAAAGTTACTGCCTGCGTGTGCACTTGCTGATCCTGCGCATTGTGCCCTCTTGAAAATTCTGACGACGGTTTGCCGGTTGATGACATCAGGCATGATCTTGAGCTCCTTGCACAGTGAGAAAAGCTGCTCCAGAGACATGTAGCTTTGACGATTCCTCATGGTGGGGCTGCCACATGCATAGGTATAGGGGTCCTTGGACGAGGGACTCCACTGGCCACGACTGCTCATGGATTTCTTGCTGCCAGGGCTTACAGGGCTAAAGTATCCCTGATTCTCCGCCCAAGCCAGCAGAGACTGACTACGTGAAGATATCCCTCGAGAACTCATGTCAAAGCCAATGGCCCCCGCGGGGAGCATGGCCTTCCTGGGAGAACCGACCTGATTTGGCAAAGGTGAGGAACCGACCTGATTTGCCTCTGGAGAAGCCACTTCCATGCCAGTGCCCTCACACTCCTTGACACAAGGCAAAGATGTCCGTGTGCTTTCACCCTCAAGCTCTGAAGGATCTCCATCAATCTCCTTCAAGGTGCCTCTGCAAGAAGATACCCTGGAGGCGAGCATGGTTTCCTGTGTCTGCTTCCAAATGGTCCGTTCCTTCAATCTGGTCGTGCCACTGCCCACCTTCGCATCCGTAGGTCCCCGGAGCTGACGGCAAGCAAAGGAGCGAAAGAGGTCATGCAATTTGGGCTTGAAGTGCTCCAGAACCAAAAGCACATTGGGATCCAAGGAGAAATCTGGAGGCTCCTGCACTTGGCAGACGCACCTAGAAGGTGGTGTCAAGACATGTACAAGAAGTCCTCGAACAACATGGCTCTCTGGCCTCTAGTGAGAGAGAGATTCAAAAACAGAGACAGAGACAACGAGATAGATACTATAATATAGCCCAGTGTATAATATATATATATATATCATGTACGGTATATTATAATGTGTGATTATATAACGTAGCAGTTCAAAGTGCAGTATCCGTCCTCTTCTACCAGCTCCACCTCTTCGGCAGCTGCGGCTACTCGGCTGAGCAGTTCCTGCATGGCTGCTTCCCAATCCAGCTCAGGATAGATGTTGGCGGCCACCAAGCACAGAGCTTTGCAAAAGAAGTCGTAGGTCAAGCGCTTACCACCATAATCTGTGTCATGAAGCACTCGCTGAAAGATGATGTCCGCAACCGCCGGCGATGTGAGGCAAGGCCCTTGTCTTCGTCTAGTTTTGCTCTCCTTGTTCTTATCTTTCTTTTCCTTTTCAAAGCTTGGCATGAAGCCGAGCTCCTTCAGCATCTTGATCCACTTGCCCGAGTGCATCAGCTCGGTGTTCAAGCGCTCCCCATAGCTGCAATGTCGAGCAAATTCCCCTCGTAGCACTTCATCATACTCCTCAGGCACCAAAGCATCACATGGTGAGGCCAGCACCTGTTTCTCAAAGTCCTGCTTGTCTGTATTCCTCTTCAAGTGCTTCATCAATCCATCGAAGCGTTTGATGACCATCGGGTCAATGGCTTCACTCCGCGCCAACTCCTCCGCGGCCGAGGGCACATGTCGCGACGCGAAGCGTCGCGGTGAGTAGGATCTCCCATGATTCCGGCTCCTGGGCGTCTGTCCCGGCACCGAGGCCGATCGGCTACGCCGGGACATCAACGTGCCGGTGAAGAGTCCACTCGAGGCTAAGGACGCACATGACAAGGTGCCACGTAGCCGGGAGGGGCTGTCCCCCCGCTCTGAACTCGACCGGATCATGCTTGGAGTCACTCTCTGCTGCGGAGATCCAACATGCAGCTTCCGTCTCCGAGTGACATAGGAATATATGATGTCCAAAAACTGCTCCAGTAGACATAGACTCTTGGTTAATACACCCCTCGTATGAAGAGGATGTTCATTTGGGTGGGGTTGTGAATCAAGAGTCTACAGACATGTTTAGACCTGGTCGTCTGGTCACGCCGATCCGCGCCAACTCGATCTTCGAGTGCGGCTCGCCGATCCTCAAGGCCGACTCTGTGTCCCGGAAGGACGGGTGCGTGTGCCAGCATGGAGCCTCAGAGGCCGAAGCGCCCGCCAGTGACGTGTGCTTCTTGAGGCGAACTGGAAAATGGTCCCCCAAAAGCTGCATGCCTTCCATCTTTTCGGATTCTGTTAAGTTTCAGACACAGATGTTAACTTGTCAGATTATTTTCAGATTCCATTTGTTCCAGATTCCATCTTTTCAGATTCTTTTCAGCCCCTTTTCAGCCCATGTGTCCGATCCTTTTTGCCTGCTTGGCTGCGCGTGCAGCTCTGAGCTGACAGATTCAGCCGATGCATCCAAGGCTTAGCTCCACTAGGCCAAGACTTACGTGCGTGCTGTCGTGCCGTGAGTTCGGCGTTGAGTGAAACGTGACAATAGACCTCCATCTTTTGCTTTTGTTAAGATCATTTTTGTTGAGCACGCACATGCACGCACGTCTCGGCATACCACAGGTCCAAAGAAATATTTTACTGTACTCTGCAGTAGGCCCCGGATGTGCTCTGGAAAACTGAGTGCTGCAAGTATGAAAGGTATGCAGTTCCTGCGCTATGCAAGTGCAAGTGCGCCACGCCTCGAACGCAGGTCCGAGGTGTTTCAGTCTGCTTCCATAGTAGACTGCTCTAAAACCTTCACTCATCTCACATCTCATTTCAGCACATGAAGATGGAGGAGAATGGCATGAACATGGACAATGCACTGAAGGTGGCCAAGATTGGAGTTGAACTGACTGCTTGAGTCACTGATTCTTTGTACTGCTCCACCACATCCAAGATGGGATATTTCGAGCCAGCTTCTCCGTAGGTTCCCATCAACGCGCCCTGCCCACCAAAGATGTAGATCGAGTCTCCATGCGCCGCCGCAACGAAGCGAAAGCGCTGCGATGGGATACTGCCACCCACATACCAAGTGTCCGTCCGAGCATCATAGACCTCCACGTCCATCAAGGCGGCGGAGTGTCCATTCTCATTCTTCGCTTCTCCACCAATGACGTGAAGCATGTCATTGAGCACTGCCACGGCTTTATCACCTCGAGCCTTCTTCATGGCAGAGCGGGACTTCCAGCCTCCAGAGGGGTTCGTAGTAAAGAAGACCTCCACATGATCCAATGGCGCAGCGAAGTTGTTCTCATGACTGAAACCTCCCAGCGCAAAGGCCACACCTGAGGCAATGGCCGAAGCAGCATCGCCACGCCCTTGAGTCAGTGGATATGATGGGCTCCAAGTGCTTTCCACTGTGTCAAAGATCATGACCTGATCTTGTGCTGCATAGATGGCATTGTAGCCTCCAAGCAGATAGATGCTATTTCCGTCCACAAACGCCGACAAGTCAGAGGTTGCATTGGGCATTGGGTTCGACAGTGTTGACCATGAAGATGTCTCGGTGTCCAAGACATCAATTTCTTGGATAATGTTGTCCGCGATGTCGCGCCCTCCAAACATGAAAATGCGGCTGCCCACCGCCGCAGCCGCATGGCGGTAGCGGCTGCGCGGCGCTTCTGGAAGGCTCTCGAAGGAATCGGTGGCAGGGAGATATTTGTGCGTGGTCTTGGTCAGGCCAGTGCACAGGTACATTCCAGCACCAGTGCTCCATTCCTGATCATTGTCGCATCCGCCAATGAGGTAGATTCCATCACCCACTGTTGTGGCAGTCATGTCACTGCGTTTGCTCGGCATGACAGTCCTAGACAGCCATTCATGGGAGTAGGTGTTGTCGTCGATGACGAAGCTTTGACCCTGCACCTGGACGAACCAGGCGGCCAATCCGAGAAAAGTAGACACCATGGTTTAGGGTCTGATCAGCTCAATCGAATCCGTGGGCTATACTATACTCAATCGCTGGAGCCCAAAGCAATGCAATTCTAGTCAGCAAGGGCAAGCTGGAGAGTCTCGGACCGGGTAACAAATCACGAAATCGCTTTGACTGAGGTGTTTTGACTGAGGCATCTGCTGTGGTGTTTTCAGGCTCTGCGTGACCCTGCCACGTGCCATGCAGCATCTCGCGACGCGCATCCTGTTCCCCCTGCTGTGGCTGCAGCTTGCAGACGAGAAGAATGGAAGGACTGGATCATTTTTGCTAGCCAGAGTCTGTCCAGGCCAAAACAGCTACATCGAGATTACAATAGATCCTTGGTCCACTCATGTCCACTCGGCTAAATCCAACTTGATGTCGCCTTGCGTCCTTCCTCTTGGGCCAGGGCCATCCAGGGCTTCATAAATGCAGAGGGTGCAGAATGGTGCAGACATGCAAACTCCGCGAGACGCGTATGACGCATGACGCGTGACGCGACGCGTGACGAGACCGTCTTCGCGCAGGTCTTCGAGTCTTCGAGCGACGTGGAGAGACCATTTTGGACCACGCCCAGCTGTCGGCGTCAGCTGGCAGTGGGCGTGGGCCGCACAGACCTGAGTCAAACGTAGGTGGGAAGCCATAGACCGCAAGTAGACCTGCGGTCTAGACAAGTGTGTGGTTGGCAATCCGCTTGGCTCTTGGGGTCTTCTGTGATCACTGCTTGTCATGAAAGCTGACATCCAGCATCAAGGAGTCTGACACGTATGCCTCGGTCCAGCCACGCTGAGAAAGTATTTCTTCCTGGGTACGTGTTCCAGTGTTCTCTCACAATGCATGGCAACGCATGACGACGCTGGGGTTGCAGCATGGGAAGTTCGCATGTCTTCCACCTGAGGACATCTTGCGAGGCTCCGTCACTGGCTGGCGCAAGGTAACACACAAATGCCTTGGGCTCCTCACCGTGACTTTCTCCTTGTTATCCGTCTCTTCTTGAAACCAAGCGTTGGGCCTTGGTTTGACTTTGGCTGCCGATGTTGGAAGACCTTTGATGAAAAGTTCCCTAGCTTCATGTAGGATTCTAGGATCTTCTAGGACAATGATGATGGCCATCCCTGTTCCTGCTGGGCGCGGGAGCCAAAAAGGGACCAAAACCGCTCGTTCAGCCGGAGCCTTCCCGTCTGTCGCGGTCTGTCGCGGTCTGACCGGTCCGTTCCGGTCAGCCATGCGGCCATTCCACCAGATCTCCCATCCGCATGGCCTTGGTGGGGGGTCACTGGCGCATCCGGATCAGGAACAATAGCAAACAGTGTTACTACTAGTAAGGCACTTGTTACTACTAGCGTGGCACTTGTTACTAGTAGCTTCCCTACTCCTCCAAATCCGCATGGCCTTGGTGGGGGTCACTGGCGCATCCGGATCGGTCGGTCGCTTCGCCAGTTCGGCGGATCGGTCGGTCTAAGACATTCGACCAAGAGAAGCCCCAAGTGAGGGAAGTGGACCTCCGCCTGGACTGGAGCGATGGAAGGGCGGAGGTCAAGTGGGATGGCGAGAGATCCTTCATCACGTGGATCATCACGTGGAGATTCATTGATCATGCGTGATCATACATGCACACCTGATATCACCTGATATGAAAACAAACGTCTGGCCTGGTCACACAGGCAAATGCTGGCGCACCTCAGAAGTTGTCCACTGGCTCACACTCCATGACTAAGCTTGCTTCGCATAACCAACACAAGGCAGGGTTGATGTTAGATCGTCCCGAATGGCTCCCGTTTCTTCGCTACAAAGGTGCTGCTTCAGAAGCAGCTGAAACCGCCTGTCCTACGTCCAGGGGGGCGACTAGGAAGTGACTTGCTCCATTTGACACGTCCGAGTTGAAGACCGTTGTCCACCTCCACGATTTCCAAGCCCTGGTTGAGTGTTCCCCCGCACCAGTTTCAGCTGCCTTGGTGGATCAACTGGTCTGCTTTCCAGTCTACATTAAGCAACTTGGAGGCATCTATATACAGTATATATGTATATTATAGGTTGGAGGCCATCGCTCTTAGGTTGGAGCCTTGGAGGCTATCGCTAGTAGGTGGAAGGCCATCGCTAATAGGTTGGAGGCGGAAAGCTTGGAATCTTGAGTGAACGCAATGCATGTCCAGTCCGGAGCCATCCTCACTTTTCCCTGCGGTGCACCAGCCGTTGCTGTACATGACTCAGCACGCAAGGTAGGGTTCACAGCTCTCAAGAGTCAACCTCTACGTCTGCAAGTGTTTCCAGGTGGCTTGGGTACTGCACCTGTCACATGCTCTGCTGACATGTGCTCAGAGTTTGGGCACAATCTCCACAGCTCCATCAGGGAGTGGGGGAGCAGACTGCGATTTTTTCGCATGTCCGGGAAAATGGGGCAATCCATGCAAATGACTGTCCAACCTCCAAGGGACAAACATGTCTTTGATGATGGCTCCAGATTTCCCCACGGGCACCCCTCGGCGTTCCACCATGTTTACATTAAGATGATCCTCACTGGCCTGAAGGAAGCGCAAGACTTCCCGCGTGCCCCGGATTGTTCCCAACTTCAGTTCCAAGGAATGCTCCTCCAAGACTTGCAACATTGGAGGACACAACTGCGAACGTGTGCACATTTCATGCCAAGCACTCAGTCGCGCAGTGGGTGATGAGACCACCCGGTGCATGCCACTCTTCAAGTGCAACTGTTCAGCAGCTTGACCAGCCCAAAGGACACCGAGTCCAGCTGGTGGCGCGCGCCATTCTCCAAAGGCATCCTGCAGTTGAAGCCCAGGAACACCACAGGGCAAGCTCAAGATGAAAAGCCCAGGATCCACATGCGGAGCCACCACCTCTGCTGGGCCATTGGCGTGGTATCGCACCACATCCAGCAGACCATATTGCCGGAAGCCACTCTCAGCGGTCTCAGGGCACAGCAAAGGGATGTCCAAATACTCACCTATATCCGCGGGGGAATTAAAGTAGAACGAGGGCACCAGAGCTTTGATGACATCTCTTTGTGCTTCATCCAAATCCAAGGCCAGCCGAGTCAACTTCTCTTGGATCTTCTCAGGCAATGACAAGTTTTGGTTGATGCATGAGCCAGTGACTACACGTAGGCCATCCTTGTGTGCCGCGCTGAAGTGTCCCTCCATGGCATGCGGGCTGCCGCCATGCTCGTTCAGGGCCAAGAAGTCCCCGATCTCGGCTAGATACTCACTCGAGTTCGAGAGAGAATCGTTCGCACCGCCCATGGTGGTGTCCCCCGCCCGATCTGGACGTCCAAAGTCCAGCCATGCAAAGCCGTGATGATTCAAAGCAGCAAATGCGGCCTTTACGGCAAGTGAATCTGCGAGTCGAAGAGCTTGCAGGCTCACTGTGGGCACCTCTTGTGGTTTTGCAGGCGCACGAGCAAATGCAGAGCTTAGACTCTGGGATAGTTGGCCCTGAGCTTGCCCCATCCTCTTCAACACATTGCTCAAGGATAGCCCACTGGCACCCATGAAGTTGAGGGGATCAGGAGGTGTGCCCACCTCATTGCCCTGAAAGCCAGGCACATTGAACTGCGCCTGGCTATTGCGGCTATTGCCGACGTTGGAGGCGTCTGTGCCCAGCATGCCCTGCAAGCTAGCTACATTGAAATGATCACCTTGGTGGTTGAGCATGTGATTCGGAGCACCGTGCTGGCCAAAGTTGTTCGCGACTCTGTTCATGGCTTCAGGAAGGCCTGTGGATACTTTGGGCCAGGCTTTGTCTGAATCTGGCAACTTCCATGTCATGTCTGGAATCTCTCACACTTATGTTTCTACTAGCTTCTTGTTACTACTAGTAAGGCACTTGTTACTACTAGCGATGCACTTGTTCCTAGTAGCTTCTTGTTACTACTAGTAAGGAACTTGTTACTACTAGCGATGCACTTGTTCCTAGTAGCTTCTTGTTACTACTAGTAAGGAACTTGTTACTACTAGCGATGCACTTTCATCTCATGGTGTCAGATTCTGAGTTCAAAGCCCCAGGTTCTCCGGTGCAAACTCATTCCAGGAGATCAAGCGTGCCTCGACGGCTAACCGGTTGCCCGCCGCGGCGCGACACGCGCCGTTGACTCTGAGGTGCTTCGCGCCTCCACCGTCTCTACCACAGGCCGCTCCCCAAAAGGGAAAGTCTTCAAAAGGACCTCGTTTGCAGCAAACGTGCAGTCGGAGGCCATCGCTAGTCGGTCGGAGGCCATTGCTATTGGGTTGAAGCCATCTCTAGTAGGTTGGAGGCCATCGCTACTGGAAACAAAAAAAGAAAAGGAAAAAGGTCTAATATAGTTTGCTATTGGGCGCTTCTAGGTTGATTTTGGCATCGCAAAGCCACAAAGGTCCAAGGATGTGGCGGTGGCACCCCCAAAGCATGGCTCTCCGCCTGGAAAGGGCATTGGAGCAGACCAACTAGAGCTGCGAACCATGTCAAAGGGGGAGACATGCGCATGCTGAAGGGGCTTGTGATATGTCGCACTGAGGAAGCATACCTGTATGTAATTAGATATGTCATCGTGGCACTTCTTGATCTGAGCCTAGGCATGAACCACGGGAGGGGCCTACTGACCCACGACAGAATGGGAAAGCTGAAGGTACTATCTAGCCTTGATCAGTTTCGGCATCTGCTAGCATCTCTCTCACCTGCGTGGACCAGTTCTCTCACACCAATCTTCATTCCAAGCGTTTCCAAAGCCGTTACGTTCGCCTCCTCAGGAGTCAGGAAATGTGGCACCTGAGAGACGGGAAGATAGACCTTCTTCTCGCTCACTCACCTTCTCTCTCTCTCTCTCTCTCAAACTCTACAAGAGACCAAAGCAAATACCCTAAGTCTTGCACAGCACGGATCTGAGGTTCAGTATTCAACCTCACGGTCAAACACGTGGCCAGTTCGATCCTACTACACAGCTAGGGTACCCAACCTGTTAGACCTGAGCAGCAAGCGTGAAGGTCCTTCGGCGTACCGATGGGTCCTGTGGTGAAGTGCATCATCGTAAGGTTCGACATACGAACAGTGGGAAGTTGCAGTACAAACCCCGAAAACTTCTGCCTCAACATTGACCAGCTGAGCTTCAAGAGCAGCAACATCGACACGGTGACATTCCTGAAGAAGAACATTGCAAAAACATCCGGTCGCACAGTGTCCAGTACATCTAGTGCGGGGTGTGAGCAACTTCTTCAAGCGTCAAAAGCTCAGGCTCCCTCCGTTGCATCCATATTCATGCTGGGCGACATCACCTGCAACCAGCTAAAAGTATAGTATATCTCTCTGTATATATATATATATATTTATGTTTATATCATGTATAAATATCAAAGGAAGATCTGACGGATTTTTTCGCAGCAGCACTTCAACTGTGCGACTTCATGCACGAAAAAGACAAGGAGAAAAGAACACCAAGCTACAGCACTTCCCTTTAGCACTTCCTTACTTCAAGCGAATCCTTGATCTGGAATTGACGAACTGCGTGCGAAGAGCGTTGAAAGCATGCAGGGCCGGCCAGCCGCTTGGTGTCCACATTGAAAAAGCAGTTCACACCAAACCTCGTTTGGAGCCGGACATGCCACATGTACCTTTGGAGCACATCTTGTGTGTGCAAGCACATTCACCTTTTTGAATTCTGATTCATCACGAGGTCAAAAAAGCTGCAGCCACGGTCGTGTCATCTCTCCTATGAACCTCCTGGCCTCTGAGATCAGCTTGCTGAGGAATTGTCCAAGAAGATTTGACTGGTGATACCATAGTTGTGTCAGTGCGCTTATGCTTGACCAACAAGAAACCAAGTAGGAGTGAGTACTGAGTGTTTAGCACCAGTACTACATACTCTAGAAGCCTGCTTTTGAGCCACAGTAGCTCAACTACTAGTTCTTGTAAACAAGGAAGTGCTCTGGAAGTTCTGGCACAGTTCTTATGCAAAACAAATGAGGATCGTTCTGATCAAGAATGACATGGTTATGCACAAATGAAATGGCACCTCTAATAGTTGGAGATAGTTGGAGAATCTTAACAGAGAAGCCACATAAATATGCCATAGTAGGTCTTAAGGTGAACCCATGACAAGCCAAAAGCCCAAAAGGGACGCAGCCAGTGCACCGAATCATACGGTTACCGTACACTCCAACTAAGTCTACGGCCACCGGTGCGATACACTGCCGTTCTTGGGCCCCGAACTTGACCCCAACTGTTGGTGGCCGGCCAGCATGCACCATGCGGCTATCCTTCAAGAGTCGACATGAACGGTCCCGACAGCCTTAGGACTAAGCCTTATGACTCTTACATATGATGTCTTTGTCCGATGCTTTCGCACAGCTCATCTGGTGAGTTGACTGGCGATGGTCTTAAGAGGGGGAACATGGCCCAAAGGGTCTTCGACAAGCCTGAGTTTGTCATGGAGCAATTTCAATGAGAAGTTCTTCCATGATCAGCCCAGCTCATGCAGGCGCCTCCTTCCTTCGTTCGCTCATTTTTTCGCCCCGCCTCCTTCCCGTCAGGCTGTGCGTTGGGCCACATCACGGCGCAGCCTCGAAGACACGCTGCCAGTCTGGCACCGACCCAGACCCGCCAGCTCAAAGAGATTTCGACTCTGACCCGCCAGCTCCGACCCATCACAACTAAAGGTCAAAGTATGAGTATTAGGACCCCAAAAAGAAGATGCCAAATAGTGGCGCTGTGCAATCGTCTCAGCAAAGGGATGCTCGTGCGTTCTCACCGTTTTCTGAAGAAATCAATCTTATAACTCAAAGCATGAAGAAAGGGAGGGGGAACAAGAAGAAGAAGGAGAAGAAGAAGGAGGAGAAGAAGAAGGAGAAGAAGAAGGAGGAGAAGAAGAAGAAGGAGAAGAAGAAGAAGAGATAACAGCTCTCCCACGTGGCAAACTGCAGATGGGAGTCTTGGGTGGATTGGCGTGCAAAACGTACAAAACCGCCAGAATAGACTACATGTTCCCGTATTGATACTCGATGAAATGATACTCGTATTGATATGTATTGATTGCTTCTCTCTGTTGGCTTTTCCTTCAAGATCTTCAAGCTTTGGTCCGCTTGCCTGTTCTCGGAACGAAGCTAAAGCCAAGATGTGGGAAAAACGTGTCGCCCTGGCAACGAGCAATTGACCAAATGCAGGACACTCCATTTATCTATTCGGCTTGCTTCGGCTTCACGAATATGTTACTCTTATTGAGGTGATGGCCCTTCACTTGCTACTTATGTCATGCTTTGGCAATCCTTGGCGTGAACGTCGTGCTTTCTGCATGTCTGCTGCAGACATCTGCCGAAAACTCATGCATGTCTCGACCCCAGCATTGTCTGGGAGCTCGTTGAGGTAAAGAAAGATGGTGATAGGCCGAAACTTCCCATCCTTAGGTTACAAGATGTGCCATGTGGGTTCCATTGCGATTTGTCATGTACGTTTTTGTGCTTTCTCACTGTCTTCTCACTCACGAAGTGAGGTAACTGAGGCCCGAGGCATGATGTACAGTAAATTCTTGGCCCGGCCTCGATTGCGGCAATCACGTGTCACCAACTGAGTTTTACAAAATAGCATTGAAGACAACCTAACAAGCGAAGGCGGTGAGAAAGAGAAGCAAGCAAGCGCATTCTGGTGATAGAACATCTGCACGACGCCCATAGGCATCCGAACTCATAGCGCACAACGACCAGTCTCTCCAGGGTCTCGATAGGTAGTTTTGCTAGCCTCAGATCTGCGCCAACTGTGCTCTTTCCCCACATGCGTCGCCAAGGCGTCGCTGCATGGTGAAAATACCTGTGCCTTGCTATGCCTTGTTTGACGCTGACATCCTTTTGAGCACAGTTTGGTCAAAGAGTCCAGCTGTGCCAACCGCAGCTCAATGCGTTGGACGATGGCGGTTTGCGCAGGGCCTGGGGTGCCACGAACGCCACGAAAAGGCACGAAAAGGCAGTGCTGATCTCACGTCTGAGGCACTGGCGCAAAGGACAGGAACTTGAGGTTCGAGTCCTCACGTTTGTGCTTTGGAAAAATGGAGAACTAATTTACGTGCTTCAGATGAATATGATTGAATATGATCAACCCCGTGGGTTTTTCCCTCTTAGAGGTCCAAAGAAATCCGCGTCAACAAATTGGTCCACTGATGAAATCTACAACGTTACAACGTTTCAACTGGGTGATTTGCTCAGCTTTGGGCTGTGCTTCGGTGGTGGCGACTGTATCTGTCTGCCCTGCTGAAGGATCTGCAAACTTCCCAACCTATGGCAAAGCTTTCTACGGCGGGTGTTGTTGATTGTGCAACCAAGGCCATTGGCTTCAGGTATGGACAGTGTGTGGTTTCACGCACTGTGCAATGAATAAATATGAATACAGTAGACAAAGGAGAACTTGAAGTCCATTGCATCACTAATCTCAGTTCCTTGAAGCCTTGGGATGCCCTTGGGGCCGGTGCCAATGAGCGAATCCATCCACCTTCCGCCAGTTCACAAAGGTGGGCACACCTCTGGCCAGTCAACAGAGTCATCTCTGGAATTTCCTGCTGAATATGGCCTCCATATGGCCTCCAACCTCCAAGCGATGCTGACTGTATCAAGCAGGGAGCTTGATCCCCCTAAAGCCGCAGAAGTTATGCCGCAAAAGGCGCTCCTTTTGATCTCGCGTGGCGGACCCACACCTAGGATTTCACAACTTTCACTCCATGCTTCCGGCAACGGTCCAAGGCCATAGCCACCTTGGCAAAGAGGAATGAACAAGCTTGAACAAGCCCTTGTGGACTTCCACAGGGCAAGAGGAATGCACAAGCTTGAAGAAGCTCTTGGAAATGCACCATGTGTTACAGACCTTCCCTTGCAGGTCTGAGACTGTGTTACTTCCGCAGTCTATTTTCGGATCCCACACCGATGCTCAGGTCTCCACGCTAGCAGAGGTCACCTCATTCAAGGTGCCAACCAAGGATTGAGCAAACTCCTGCTCGGTGATCTCCTTAGGCAAAGGTCGTTGGAAGGTTGCAAGGGCGTTGTATCAAATTCAGGGAAAGATCCGAGGAACCATGTCAGTTGAAGGAAACTGGCTGAGGCCTGCTCCAACGGCCCTTTCGTAGGGGTCAGCTGAAAAAGCACGCAGTCCAAGGTTTGCCGCATGCCGGCAATCCGCCTCAGAGTCTGCAGGAGGGATCTTTGGACGTGTATGTGCCATCTTTTCACGATGGTCGCCGCATTTTTGGGGCCCCCAAGAAGAGATCTGAGTGTAATTAGTGATCTTGTAAGTCGTGATTCTCCACCAAGGCACTTTGGATCAGGCAACTCGGTGGAGACATATTGCAGATCCTCCTCCCCAGGCGGTGTACTGTAAGGCATCGTTGGCCTATCCTTGGATCAGTCGTGCTCAACGGCAAAAAAGAAACACCTCAAGGGGACCGTCATTCCATCTTTGGGCCTTGGCTTATGCAATGTCCCGATGGGTCGATAGGTCAGCGCACATCAACTCTGCTTCTTTGGGCGGCCCTGTTTCTTTGGGCGCACATCTCATGTATGTAGAGAGGTTTGTTTCAGCCGCACTTCGTGAGATCTAGTCGATCCCCTTTCTCAAACCCAATTTCCCATCCCGAACACGTGACCAGCATTACCTATGCTTTCTTCTGGTCTTGTATATGGTCTTGTCTTCAGTTGCTTAAGATCAATGCCAAGGGAGTCGGCCTCTGCAAAAAGAAAGGGAGAGAGAGGGAGGGGCACCAAACTCCACCGTTCACCTCCTAAATCCTGTCGGCAGAAGCTGCTAAGGATCATAGAAATACATCCAAGGAAGGTGGCCTTCTCGATTGTTGCCGGATGCGCTTCGCGGAAGAAACCGATGCACACGGCCAGGACCACGCAAGAGATGAGTTCTGAAGCGGATGTCCTCGCTTGCAAGAACGGCCGTTTTGCTAAGAGCGATGCGAGGAGCCCCTCGTAGCGTCCTTGTTCCTAGTAGCAAGGCCAGGAGCCCCGTTCGTGGCGTGCGATCGCTCCGTTCGTTTCGATGCCAGTTTGCGCCCCGTTCGTAGCTTCTTATGGACCGGCCCCATGGTTCGAGCCAGCGCATCCAGGACGTGGCGCTAAAGGACACCTCGACTGGTCACCGGCCCCAGCCGCTTCTCCCGGCGCTGCCGAGAGTCCGCAAACTGATTGGCAATGACCCGGTCATTGTGCCGCTCAAAGAAGTCCTTTCTCAAAGAAACAAAAGCTTTCGCAGGGCAGGCTCAACGCGCGGCGATGATACAGCTTCTCATTCAAATACACTCAAAAAGAGTGGACACATTGTTGGTGCAAAATGACTCACAAAAGCCCGAGCTGCATCAAAGACATGGAACTCCGCCGCGGCATCGAAGTATTCGCCCGTCGCCGTACCAAAGAGTCCTGGTTTTTCCTGCTCGGGAGAACCGTGTAGCAAGTCACCCGCACAAAAAAGAGGCGGAGCCCAGATCGGCCTTGCAAATCCCTGGGGCGTAGCTGAGGATATCCACTCCCGGGCGTGGTTTAAAGTTTAAAGCTACACTCCCACGTAGACAGGGAGGCCTTGATCAGATTGTCCTTGATCACCTTGATCACTTTAAAATCAAGTCACAAGTCAGTCTTCTCTGACCCGCACCTGCTCCGCGCTGATGGCCACACGTAGCAACCCGTCTGCCTCCATCCGTGTCACGTCCGCAGCACGGGCAGTGAGTGGCAAACGGGGACCCAGCCCAGGCGTCAGGTGAATCCTGGCAAAACGAGGCGGAACCCAACGACCTACCAACGACAAAACCACAAGCCGCCTCCGCTCACCCGAGTCCAAATGGACTGTGGTCTATTTTTGGTCCAATAAGGTGCATCCGTTGATCAAACAGAATCGGACAAACCACCTGCTTGTTGGGTCCGTGGTTTTAGGGACACGTAACCTTGAGACAAAGTGGAGAAGCCACGCCACCAAGTGACCAAGTGGCGTCTTGTCGCTTCTACGAACGGAACCACGCGGCACACAAAGGCATAGAATGGCATGCAGTATAATTCTTCAGCGCTGCTCAAGAGAAGTCTTTTCCCCACCCACTGCCAATCCAAGGACTCAGAACAGATCCCTTCATTCCCCGACCTGGAGTGAACTACTGGTTCTTGATTTGGCCTCTCCTGGGCAGGCAATACTGAACATCCCATCTCAAAACACCTAGGTCTCAAAAACCGCCAAGTGAAGTCAAGTCCAGCGCATAGCTTCTCCAAAATCACCCAGGAGTGTGATGGTCTCAACAACCTGCATGGTCTCTTACGTCAGCGTCTCCTGAATCGCAGCACCATATTCCTCCGCACGTTTCGGGTGCCAAAGGTCCTTGATTCAGCTTCAGCAAACGAAGCTGGCGCTTGACATGTCGACACCTCCTTTTCAACGTCTACTCGTCTATCTAAGGTGCATCATCGTCGGAGAAAAAGACCCACGGCGCATCATCTCCTACATGCCGCCTGAGGCTCTCCTGGAACATCGGGCATGGTTGGTCGCTTTTTTTTCCAGTGGCCACGTGACTTCTGTGTTTTTGTTGTTTTTTGCTCTGCTCTCACTTATATACTTAATTTAATTCTTGTTTCTAGTAGCTTCTTGTTCCTAGTAGTAAGGCCCTTGCTCCTACTAGCGATGCACTTGTTCCTAGTAGCTTATTGTTTTTAGTAGGTTACTTAAGTAGCTACTAGGAACAAGTGCATCGCTACTAGTAACAAGTGCCTTACTAGTAGTAACAAGAAGGTGCCTACTAACTACTACAGAAAATCACCAGCCAGTCCCTCAAGCGCGCGTAGTGCTGGAATTGCGAGCGCCGGCCACGCAGGCGAGGCATTGCATGGATGACACCCCTGTAGAAGTGGCAACGAAAACTGCAAAGAACAATCCGGATTCTTATTCAACTAGCTGAGCTAGCCTAAGAAGAACAGTACTTGTTGAACGGATTCTTAGAAGAACAGTTCTTTGAGCCTAAGAATTCGAGAGCCACCCATTGAATTCTAGAGCCATCCATTTAGTGTCTTTGAAGATCTGTTGAGCTACTGAGCTAAAGCCAATGTTCTTAAATGAGACCATCACCCACCAAGTCTGTGGGGTGCCTCTCTTGGAACTCATCAAGGACGGCTTGTGCTTTTCCGGCCACGCCATAGGCCTTGTCGGCCTGTCAGGTCAAGCGGATGTCATGCAGCAAAGCTCAGGAGCACTGCGCTGCTCAGCGCACCTCTGCCTCTTCTGCTGACCAGCTGACCAAGAGCGGAACACGCCAAGTCTGCTCCTCCACTGAGTGGAGCAACCCTCGGCAAGTCCAGAGCGCTTTGGGCCCACTCACACGCATTAACCAAACTCACCTGCCGGCTTATCGAATCCACACATTCTGGATCACACTAACCTAAAAATAAAAGGACAGCTCTCTCAGCTCAAGATTCGGCGCAGCCGCTCCACCCGACTGAGATCTGACGAGGCAAAATGAGCGGCCAAAAGGCCTGCGAGACTGAAGCAAAATTGTGGGTATAAAATACATGTTAGCAGGCTGCTTTTGCACACACGGCCCTAATTCAAGAGAAACAACATGCGTTGCAGTCAACCTCGCTCTCTTGGGAAGAGTTTTTTAGGGAAGGCCTATGAGCCGCGGTCGCACCATGAATCATCTGCCCAACAACATCTCAGGTCAAAACATGGTTGAAGTCATGGAAGCTCTGAAATCTGACCTTATTAGACCTTGAAGCCATGCGCTTTCTGTGTTTTTTTGGTGTAATCACCTGACCGTCTGGCTCTGTCTTGCTGTCTTGAACATCGTCTTGAGCCTTCAAGCTTGGGAGTTGTTCAGTTCGCATGCGTCCCATCACTCCCACCCGCAAATCACTGCAAATCACTGTAGCAGCTAGCCTACTTCCCATCCGCACAGCCTAAAATAACTTGTCTCTATCATTTCTGCTTGGCTACTCGTTTCGAACCGAGAAATCCCGTCGTCTCAGCTTCTCGGTCCCTCGGGGGCTTCGCTGAGACTCCAACTCTTCACTGCTCAGGAACTGTGGCACCGCGACCATCCGCGGCTCCTCATGCACCACGAAGCTTCGCAGGCTGGTGGGTGCCAAGGTGTTGAAGTCCACCGGCGGCCTTGGAAGTCATCGGCTTCCGAGAACTGGTCCCCAACAACACGCTGTGCTCTTTTGAGGTCACCAAATCCCACCTGTGCGATTATCTACACAGGTAGCCCGAAAGGCGTCCATGCGCCTAGCTACGGTCCTCCTGCCACCGCGACTGTAGACGACCGTAGACGACCCTAGTGACCGGTGAACGTCCGTAGTACCGTCTGCGATCAACGCATCTGCGCATCGGCTCTTTTCGACGCTGCTCGGAGTCGTTCAAGCTCCTCCATGGAGACCTCCTGAGTCAGTCAGAAGGGAAAGTGAAAACGAAAAAGGCTTTGGGTGATTTCACCAATGACCTGGGATGATTTCACGAACTGGTCACGGCATAATACGACATATAGTCAGTATGGTCATGGTAGATCGTGGTCCATGAAGTATGCCAAATCAACGGAATGCTTCGAAATTGTCGACGTCTTTCACACAGGCAAGTGCAAAAACTGTAGCTAGGAGCATGAAGCTACTAGGGGCTCCTGGCCTGACGGGGCTGCTGGCCTCACTACTAGGAGCAAGAAGCTACTAGGGGCTCCTGCCCCTACTACTAGGAGCAAGAAGCTAATGGGGGCTCCTGCCTTACTACTAGGAGCAAGAAGCTACTAAAAGCGCCTGGCCTTGCTACTAGGAGCAAGAAGCTACTAGGGGCTCCTGGCCTTACTACTAGGAGCAAGAAGCTAATGGGGGCTCCCGCCTTACTACTAGGAGCAAGAAGCTACTAGGGGCTCCTGGCCTTAGCACGACTAAGAGCAAAAAGCTACTAGGGGCTCCTGGCCTTACTCCGACTAAGAGTAAGAAGCTACTAGGGGCTCCTGGGCTTGCTGGGCTTGCGACTAGGAGCAAGAAGCTACTAGGGGCTCCTGGCCTTACCACTAGGAACAAGAAGCTACTAGGGGTAGGAGCAAAAAGCTACTAGGGGCTCCTGGCCCCTACTAGGAGCAAGAAGCTACTAGATGTTCCTGGCCTTACTAAGGGGCAAAAAGCTACTAGGGGCTCCTGGCCTTACTACTAAGAGCAAGAAGCTACTGGTGGCTCCTGCCTTACTACTAGGAGCGATAAGGTTCTAGGGGCTCCTGGCCATACTACTAGGAGCAACAAGCTACTAGGAGCTCCTGGCCTTACTACTAGGAGCAAGAAGCTACTAGGGGCTCCTGGCCTCAATACTAGGAGCAAGAAGCTACTAGGCGCTCCTGGCCTTACTACTAGGAGCAAGAAGCTACCAGCAGCGCCTGGCCTTACTACTAAGAGCAAGAAGCTACTAGGGGTTCCTGGCCTTACTACTAGGAGCAAGAAGCTACTAGCGGCTCCTGGCCTTACTACTAGGAGCAAGAAGCTACTAGGGGCCCCTGGCCTTACTACTAGGGGCAAGAAGCTACTAGGGGTTCCTTGCCTAACTACAAGGAAGAAGCTACTAGGGGCTCCTAGCCTTGCTACTAGGAGCAAGAAGCTGCTAGGGGCACCTAGCCGTACTACTAGGAACATCTAGGAACAAGAAGCTACTAGGGGTTCGTGGCCTCGCTACTAGGAGCAAGAAGCTCCTGGGCGCTCCTGGCCTTGCTACTAGGAGCAAGAAGCTACTAGGGGCTCCTGGCCTCACTACTAGGAGCAAGAAGCTCTGACTACTAGGAGCAAGAAACTACTAGGGGCTCCTGGCCGTGCTACTAGCTGGCCCCTAGCCTTACTACTAGGAGCAAGAAGCTACTAGGGGCTCCTGCCCTGACTACTAGGAGCAAGAAACTACTAGGGGCTCCTGGCCTTGCTACTAGGAGCAAGAAGCTACCAGGGGCTCCTAGCCTTACTACTAGGAGCAAGAAACTACTAGGGGCTCCTGGCCTTGCTAGTAGGAGGAAGAAGCTACCAGGGGCTCCTAGCCTTACTACTGGGAGCAAGAAACTACTAGGGGCTCTTGGCCTTGCTACTAGGAGCAAGAAGCTACCAGGGGCTCCTAGCCTTACTACTAGGAGCAAGAAACTACTAGGGGCTCCTGGCCTTGCTACTAGGAGCAAGA